ACAGCCCGATTCGTAACCACTACGCTACCAGAGCTCCTTATAGACAAGATGTAGTTGTCCTTTAATGTTATGCAAATTTGCCCTTACTTTAGGTGACTGACCTAACCCCTACTCACAAGAAATTCATCATAATCACCTTCACTTGAGGTATATACAAATTTTAAATCATTTTTGGAGCCTTTTTTGGCACTAAAGTTAGGGTAAAAAGGAATCCTCTGACTCTGTTCCAACATACCTGCAAATTCGCCTTGAAGATAAACATATATATATATACAGGAAGGAGCTCTGGTAGCATAGTGGTTATGAATCAGGCTATTAACTTCAAGGTCAGCAGTTTGAAACTAAAAGCTGTTCTGCAGGAGAAAGATGAGGCTTTCTGCTGCTGTAAAGATTTACAGCCTCCGAAACCCTGTACAGGGTCACTATGAGTCAGAACTGACTCCATGGCACACCACCACTGCCACCACCAGGAGCCCAGGAACCTCAAGGTCAGCCATTCAAACCCAGCAGCCACTTTATAAGAGAAAGATGAAGCTGTCTGATTCAGGGACTACTTAGTCTCTGAAATCCTAAAGAGCAGTTCTGCTTTGTTGTACAGGAATCAACTCCATGGCACTGGGTTTAGTTTTTTAGTTTTCCTACATATAACATTCCAAATGCACTACTCTAAAATAACACATCTTTACTTTAAGTCAAAAACCTCATAAACTCAATTTTAAAAGCTGAAACCAAAAACTAACAATGCTTTATATCTAATTTTTACAAAAAAAGAACAATTTACATCTACTTGTTTTGTAATTGGTAAATATTCACAACTTCGAGAAACAGAGATTTTAAAGTTTATTTATCGAAAATTTGAATTTCCTTTATCAAAAATTTTAAGTCCCTTTAGTGTTTATTCAAATACTTCCCCTTACATTGAAATTCTTACCTTGAGGACATTGTGATTAGTGATATCTTCACAGTCAATAGAATGGTTGCATGCAGCTTTCCACCCTGGTGCAAAAGGATTAACTGAAGAGGAAAGAAAATGATGGGTTCACAGAGGCATTCGAAAATGTCCTAAAAATTTCAATAAAGTTGTGTGCTGCATTTATCTAATCCTAGTAATAAAGTAAGGTACACAATGTGAATAATTTATACATCATGATTTCACTCCCTCTTGGGGCTAATGTTAGTACTACAATGCTTTAAATTAAGCAGATATTTAGTTTGGGTCTTCCCTTTTACAAAGCTCTCAATAATACAACTTAAAATCCTGTAGAAGGAACCTGAGATTATGGCCCTCAACCACCCTTCAGTTCTGGACAAGAACTTACCCTCATGGCCCAATTTTCAGCCAAGCAGTACATAGGTATACAGGGGGGCCCACAAGTAGATAGTTATATACGGGGGACAATGAGGTATGTTCACCACTGAATGTCAATCATTCAAGATCAAAAGGGCAATATTTACCTAAGGACAAAGTTGAGAAGGGATGGCAAGGAGGGTGGAATGGAAATAGAAGCCACAGAGAGAAAGTGGGATAATGGTTGCTGCAAGGAGGGGATTACAGTCATTGAGATGAAACAAAGTGTATGATTTGTTTAATGAAAAACTGATGATCTTCTCTGTAAACCATCGCTCAATTCACAAATAAAAGTTTTGTAAAAAGAAAAAAAATTTCTATAAGAAATTACATACGAGATATTAGTAGATATTTTAAAACTATGTTCTATAAAATGATATTGACTTAATTGAATGTAAATATTGAAGGTGTGTTAATTTTTAAATCTATGAGCAGGCTAAGACCAAAAAAAAATTTTAGTGCTTAACACACACTTAAGACCTGTAGGATAAGCATTAGACTGCTAACCACAAAACTGGTGGTTCAAGCCCATCAATCACTCTGAGGGAGAAAAATGAGACATTCTGCTCTCATAAAAATTTATAGCCTCAGAAACCCTATATAGGGTCACTCTGAGTCATAACTGACTCTTGGGTAGTGGATTAGGTAAAATAGCTCACATTTATATGCTAATTAATCTTGCAATCCATCATGCTTCAGGACTAAGCAATTCAAAAAAATTAAAGAAACATTTAAAAATATTTTTACCTTGAAAGGCTATAAATAACTCATGTATAAGGCCATGTTTTGGAATTTTAACAAGATGACATTTATATGATGGTTCTATAACATGGCATGTTAAATCAGAGATTAAATTATCCAAGATTTTCTTCAGCATTCTAAAAAGCAGGTCATTATATTTTCCTACACAAGACTTTGTGGTAAAACGTACAGCCATTTGATATGAATAATCAGGCTCCCGATAGGCTTCAAAAAAATAAAAATAAAAAGGTAAGAATTAAAACCAAGTGTAGTTAGTATAATTTCTTCTACCAACTTTCAAATGACATATTGTGTTATATCACATCAACCTTGCAAGTCAGCATAGAAACTTTACTTAGCTAATAAAATGTTTTATCCACCTATCTTTACAAAAATATATAAAATTAATAACTTTAATGAACAACATTATTTTCATCTGAACAGTATATCTTCTCAGTATAAGAAGAGAAATGGATCTGTAGGTTGGCTATATAAATTAAGCGTCCAATAAAAAAGATTTGGGGGGAGGTATTCATTTCACCACTCATGTGTCACTTTGTTGTACTGTGGTGACTTGTGTGTTGCTGTGATACCGGAAGCTGTGCCAGGGGTACCATAAATACCAGCAGGGTCACCCATCGTGGTCAGATTTCAGTGGAGCTTCTAGAGTAAGACAGATTAGGAAGAAGGAGAGGTGGACTACTTACTGATTAGCCACTGGAAACCTTATGAATAGCAGTGGAATACTGTCAGATATAGTGTCAGGAGATGAGCCTCTCAAGTTGGAAGGCACTCAAAATATGACTGGGGAAGAGGTGAATCTTCAAAGGAGACTTGACTATGATGACGTGAATGGAGGACAGTTTTAGGGACCTTCATTTGTTGATGGGATGTACTTAAAAAGAGAGCTGCTCCAAGTATACATTAGTAATCAGAACATGTAATGTATGAAGTATAAGTCGAGGAAAATTGCAAGTTGTCAAAATGAAACAGAACACATAAAGATTGATATCCTAAGCATTAGTGCACTGAAAGTGGATTGATATTGGTCATTTAAATCATATGGTTTACTATACCAGGAATGACTTGGCATTGTATTCATCATCAAAAAGAACATTTCATGATCTATCCTGAAATATAATGCTGTCTGTGTTAGGATAATATCCATATGCCTACAAGAAAGACCAGTTAATACCACTATTATTCAAATTTATGCACCAACCTCTAAAGCTAGTGATGATGAAATAGAAGTTATACCAACTTCTTCAATCTAAAGTTGATCAAACATGCAATCAAGATGTACTGATTATTACTGGTGATTAGAAACAAAGAGGAAGGCTCAGTAGTTGGAAAATAAGGCCTTGGT